GGGGAAAACCCCGAAGCCTTTTCCGAGGACCTAATGCGTTTGACATCAGCCGCCTATCCTTCCCTTGCGGCCGCTGACAAGGACCGCGTGGTGGTTAACCATTTCAAGAGTAGCCTTAACTCAGAGGAGGTATACTTCTCCCTTAGGCACAACCCGCCAGGGGACCTAGAGGGCGCAATCCAGAGGGCTAAGCACCTGCTCCTACCAGATTATCTTCGGCCTCCCAAAAACCGACCCAGATTAACGCTAAACCCCTCCTAAGAACTAACTGATAATTCCAAACACTATTTTATTTACTTTGTAGATTTTGGAGAAAATATCCTAATGAATGCAACCGACGAAATAATAATTTCAATAAGCACTATTTGTACGTTAATGGCTATGGGGTCTCACGTAATGAGGACCTGGGCGTTTTCTTCTTAAATTATGGTCCTCTTAAATTATGGTATTAATGGCATCCCCAAAAGGTAAGCAAAATGGTGCTGTTTGAGTTTGTGGGATTCATAACTACAAAGCTTCACAATATTACCCTGCCAGTTTGCTCGTGCTAAGAAAACCATTCAAGCATAAGCGTAATTCTAGTGTAAACTGGGAAAAACTGTTGGCTTCTATGTATTCATATGCTCTTTATCATCTGAAGATTGGCAAACCACTGCAGTAGCCTTGCTAAACATAGTGAGGACTATTTTGTAAGCAGTGAAGAAGATTGTATCAGATGAGCATTCGAGGGGTTATCTGTGAAGTGCTTAGGGCAGTAAACCCTCACTGCATGCTCGTCTTATAAGCATTTTCATGGTCTTTCATCTGCGATAAATTTCATAATTTCCACATTTGTTTGAGTGCTGCAAGTGCTGAGGGTGAGCTGGAGATACAATATTGCGAGTCTTGCGAGCAACTTGCGTAAGTTTGTAAATGTTTGATTATTTCTCCCATACCAACGAGATAGCATTTACAAAAACTTATAAATAATCATGAGCAGCATTAGGCATATTAAGTACTTAAAAGA